AGAGAAAGTTTATTTAGAAAGTTACAGAAGTAGTGAAAGTGAGCTGTAGAAGAAATGGGCTAAGGAAACAAATAACAGGGGCAAAAGAAGGGACTGTGGAGCTTAGGAAAAAGAGAGAGAAGAGCAAAGGTAATGCACCTGTGGGAGGGAAGGGAAAGGGAAAGGGAAAGATGTAGGCACAGAGACTGGCACTCTTATACACTACTGGTGGGAATTCAAAATAGTACCAGTATATAGGGAGAGGAATTTGGCAGTATCATAAGTCTTATACATGCATTTATCTTGAAGATATACCTGCAACACAAAAATACATGTATGCAAAGTTTTTCATTATAACATCATTTGTAATAAAAAAATATTGGTAATTACTTAAATGTCCAAGTACAGGAAAATGGTTCAATAAACCATGGTATATAAAATGGAGTCCTATGCATTTAAGAATGAAAGTTATTTAGTTTATATGTATCAGTTTTCAAATAGCTTCTAAATTGTCAGGACATAGATATATAGTAAGTTATTTGGACCTAACTATTAAAGAAATAAAACCCTTGCGTGTTTCTTTTGACCTAGGGACACTATGAAAAACATTACTGACATAATAAGGCTGTAATGAACTGAGAAAGTTTGGGAACTTCTGACAAATGCCTGTGAAGGATTTTAAGAGTGAATGTGTACGTAGTTATGAGGTTACTGTGGCTTGTGATTAACAAAATTTACAATAGGCTTAAAAAGGCACTGTCCATAGTATATAGGAAGAACAATAATAGATTTCATGGTGGCACATAAGAGGAGCAACTAGCCCAGTCTTTAGAGTTGTTTTTCCCCACCTGAGGAATGGTGTCAAGAGAAAGAATCTAATCAAGATACAATTTTTGGAGATATAACCTAAGCTGAGTTCTGAAGGACCAGTAGAAGTATTCTAAACTGGGGGAAGGAGTGGCTAGGATTATAGGAAGAGGAAATGGGGGACTGAAAAAATGCTAGATTCCAGAAGCTTGGTACTGCTGAAACTGAATATCCTGGAAGAAAAGAGATGAGGCTATGAGGTTAAGGAAGGAGTAGATCTTGAAGGTTTTGTATATGTGATTGAGGATAAAAGGAGTTTGGATTTTATTAACAGGCAAGGAGGAGCTGCAAAAGGGTTTTATGCAGGAAAGTATTCATGATTGCTCTAACCAAGTATGGAGGAAAGAAAAGGGGGTGGTGGTGGGGAGCAACCAGAGGCTAAAAGGCTGCTGCCGTAATCCAGAGTAGATCTAGACAGAGTAGCTGAACTAAAGCATGTGGAAACCTCCACTTTCAATACATTACTATGCTAGCTACTCAACTGCTTAAGAACACAGTAGCAGAGATCCTGTGGTTTTGATGACCACAATCATGATCTTTGTGAAAACCTGGGATTTTTGCCTCATTTTCACAATGCATTTGAGAGTAGAAGTTATTTCACAATCTTGCTGTTTTATTCTACAAGATGACACTGTCAGACCCTGATATTTAGCTTTAATAAGTGAATTCCGGAATGAAATTGGATCCTACATTTCAAAGAGATTACATGTGTCACAGGTTCTATTTATTGCATCTCATACAGGACTCTAGCTGTGAAAGCCTTTCAGAATAGTATTATAACATTTTATAGAGACTTGCTTTTTTGGCTTGTACAGACTATCCTCTTGACATTGAGGAATCAAGTCTTCACCTTCAGGTATAATTAAGTCAAAGATATAAATTCTCTTCTAAAATTTGCTCACAAGTCTTTTAAAAATTCAGAGCTCTATACAACCAAATCGTAATGAGTCCAATAGATGGCTTAGAGCTAGAGAGAAAACAAAGAATATTAGTTACTAATGAGGGCTAGATAATGAGCTGTTTTTTACAGTTATGTACTTTTTTAAAAACCAAGAGATGAACACATTTGTCTTAAATGCATTTAAAAGTGCTTATAAAAAACTGCACAGGCTTAGAAAGAGTGAAAGAATTCTTCTAGCTCTGAATAGCAACTAGACCCTCACGAGAGTTCTGCCGACTTTAAGCCTTCATACCAAACCCAAAGAGAAAATGATATATGGTTTAAAATGGTAAAAACACACCCAGTACACCTTTGCTTCTTTTACCATTCTTCCCATTCCCCTACCACCTCTCCCCCATCTCCTTTAGTGAAAGAAAGAAAAAACAACATGCCTTAGGGAACAGTTACTACGAATAGGTTTCCAAAAGTCCTCTCAAATCTCAAATACTTCAGAGGTAAAAAGCAGTCATCAAACACCAGAGTTGAGTTCCCAATACTCTGTTTTCCCTGAACACTTACATGAACAATGCCCAATCATTTTTTTTATCACAGAACATATAAAAGGTGATAACACTTATTTGTAGGTACACTGGAGATAAACAGAAGAGTTGCTACTGCATGAGGCCACTTGGCCAGGGTTACTAGTAACCCCAGGCCCCACTTGATGACCAAGTGCTGAGATCAATATCTTTGCTTTCCTGAAGCTGGGGTCAATCAGAATCTCACTTTCCTCAGCCTCTCAGGGTTAATTGCAATACCCAAGCTCTAAGACATTGTTATTTTAAAATCCAGACTCTACTACACACGAGCTGCCTAGCCACCAGCAAATAACTTTATTTACTCTTAGTAAAGTGTAGGAAAAATACCTATCTTGCAGAGAGAGGTACTGTGGAGATTTGAAATAATATAAGTAAAACTCTTATCACAGTGCTTGGCAGGCAATCAATGAATGAGGAAGGTTATTATCAGGAGGGGTGATAAATTCAAAAAGGAAATCTGACCACTGTACAGTGATAATGTAAATGAGGTAAGAAATCACAGGTTTCCTTCTCTCTCCTTAGTGTTAAAGAATTAAAACATTTTATAAAACAATGGAAACCATATACGGTCTCCCTACTTCTTCAAAATCATAATCTTTTTCCTCATTAACAGCCTCTTATCCTTGTCACCCAACGAGTAAGGGTAATTAGTATGTATTACACTTATACACACACACATACAAGAAATTATACTGGTGCATTTATTTACGTTCTGTAGAAGCTGACCTTGGAAAAACAAATCCAGGACCACCACCAGATACTGGTCAAGTAATGAACATATCAGCACTTTTTGATTTGGACCTACCTAAAGTGAAAATAACCCAACTACCTACAGACAAAAATGATCACCCCACAAAAATGGTAGACAAGTATTTCCTATAATTAGCCCTTTTCCCCCTGAAAGCCCTGCAAAGAAAGTGTTGTATGAAGAACTGCTTCAAAATAGATGATACAGATGACTGCACAATCAGCAGTTACACTAGAAAACAGCATCTGGATGTCTGAAAAGAAATGTGAATGTGGCTATTGGTAAATTATGCCAAGGTCATATTGGATGCCAGAGGATTTCATGTATCCATGGGAAAAATGAGCCACTATAAGCAATTCTGTGATGTATCAAGTTTTCCAAACAGTGGTAACTCCCAATTTCCCCTTTTTAAGACAGGGTATGACTATCAACTCCAAACTTAAACCTACTATCACCAGGAAGTGTCTGCTTGATAACCTTGGGCAAACAAACTCAAGTAGTAAAACTTTAACACTGGAATACAAATTATTATAATGCCCAGTCATAATTTCCCAAATATGATTTAACCTTTCAGTGGAAGACAGAGTTTTGAAAGGACAGCAAAGGATTCTCCTTGAATCATTCTTTGACCATGCTAAAGAACGGACAGGCAAAGAAAAGTCTGCACATGTCAAGAGACTGGAACAAAAACACAAATTTAAAAAACCCCAGTCCAATAAAATAAATGACTCCTGGAAGGCAACTGTGAGCTCACCTACAGATTCATTCATTCAATGAAGAAATGAATGAATAACTTATGTCCTAGGCCAAAGGCATGTAAACACAGAGGTAAGACATGGCTTCTGCCCTGAAGAAATTCTAAGTCTAATAATAATGTTTTAGAGTTACAGTCATTTTATTGTAACAGTGTATTAATAAAGACAGAAAAACATAAACTAATAAGACATTTAAGTAGATTAGCAAACATAAGCTAAACAAAATGTCCTCTACTGTGAGTTCACTAATGAAATTTGTTACCCAATTTTTGGAACATAATTCAAGTTGTAATTGACGACAAGAATTAACGTATGACACACGTTTTATAAAGGTTTCGCCCTAACATCACCACCAAACACAATTTGTAAATTAGGTGTTTTTCAGCTTGACATGTAGGGCGTGGCGCTGGAGTTCTCGCACAACCTCAATGGCACTTGGATGAGCTTTCACAAGTCTGGACATTCTGGTTCCCGAGCAAAGGCCAGTTAACTCCTTAATGCTCTCTAAACCTTGAAACAACACTTCGTGGTCACCCCCGCCCACTCAGACACATATACCGCTCTAACGCATACAAATCACATCTTCCACTTCTGGAAAACCTTTAGGAACGGACTACAGAGGAAGCACCCCTCACTCAAAATATATTCTCTTACACGTTTTAGAGGCGGGGTTACCCGAATAGGGGCCAAACCTGTCTGCGGAAGAGCCCAGAACCAGCTATTCAGTTCAGTGCGTAAAATCTAATTACTTCAGTCTGAAAAAGCTATTCCTTTAACGGCTCTAGCACAGGCAAGGAATTGAAAGAAAGGGAAGGAGAGAAAAGGAGCGGAGTGAGGCGCAGGGACTTAGGTAGCAGCTGCGGGTCCCCCAGGTCGCGGGCACCGCCCAGGCAAGGTCTTCAGCACGCCGGGCCAGAAATGCTGGGTGACCTTCCGACGAGTCCAACTTGAAGAGGGTACCGCCCGCCCTCGGGGGTGCGCTCGACCGCACAGCGGCGAACGCGGAGCCCCGGATTCCAACCCGGGCTCGCCGCCGGGCAAAACTGGGGATGTGCAATCTCCGCGGCGGGCCCAGGGCCTGGGCCTCGGCTCGCTGCCAATCGGACACACCCCCGCCTCCCCTCCGGCAGCCCCCACCCCTCCCGGGGCCGCCAGGGCAAGGCATAGCTCACCTGCACCAAAAACCAGTCCGCCGCCCCACGGCACCGGAAGCCGCGGCAGAGCTGACTCCGGCGAAGAGTACTCGGCCCTGGTCAGGGAGGCTCTGCGCCGCGAGCAGCAGAAGGAGGAGTCCGACGGGCGGCGGCGGAGGTTGGGCAGCAAGGGGAGGAGGAGAAGGATGGGGAGGAGGAGATGGGGGGAGGAGGAGGAGGACTCGAGCGCCCAGCTCCTAAAAGACCCACCCTCCTCCCGGCCGCTCTGCAGCAGCAGCCGCAGAGCACTTCCGGGGCGCTAGGAAGCGAGGCGGGGCCTACGGGGGAGGGACTTCCTTTCCTTTGGCAGAGCAGAGGGTGTAGGTGGCCAGAGCTGGGGAACAATGGCTGGGAGGGCGCGGGCTCTCTGGCGTCCACCCTCTTCGTGCTGCGGCGGGACTGCGCAGTCTTTCGGTCAGCCCCACCCCCAGCTCCCTGTGTCCAATGAGATGAAGTCACCTCCCTGGGGCCCGCGAGTGGCCGCGGCCTCGTGGAGTTTTCCGAATCTCGGCGTCCTTGTCTCTCTTATGGAGAGCAAGAGGGGGTTCTTGGGGAAAGGAGGGGAGACCGAAGGACGCCATCTTGCTTCTCGGGAGCAGCCCCTACTCCCGGAGGCAGCTCTGTCGTGTGGCTGGGGGTTTCCAAAGCGGAGCCGGCGACGTGGCAGTCGCGAGCAGAATCCTAGGAAATGGGTCAGTCAAGTGCTCTAGCTGGAGGGTCTCGGTGGCTGTCCCGGGCCTCATATCTAACTGCTGGTCCGTGGAGAAGTCGCTTGCTTGGATGGTCTAGAGCCTTTTCTGAGGGGGCTCGAGAGCCCTAGGACACTGCAGGTCTGCTGTGGCGCTGAGATCATCCTGAGGCTCCACCCTTTGATTTGGTAGCCTGTTAGAAGTAGTTCCACAAAATTGGTTGCTTTGTTTAAATCCAGCCACAAGTTCGAAATAGATCACTTGCCTTATCTCTTTACTTTCACTTATTCTCTTATTTTTCCCCCTGCCCCCAAATTGAGTATCAGCTCCGTGCTTGGCCCGACCCGTTCAGGGGGTAGGCAGACATGAAAGCACTTAATTATGATTGGAAGTATGGTATGTCAAGATATACGGAGGAAGAATAGGTGCCTTTACTAACTGCATTAGGTTTTAAAGATAAAGGCAGGTTTCCCAGCACAAAAATGAGGGCTGGAATGGCAAATCCAGATCCTGACAGAAAGGTCATGCAGCGCAGGGACAAATAATGTGTTGAGAAATCTGAGTTTCTGAAAAAGATGAGACTGGAGAAGCAGACAGGAGCCAAATCTTGAGAACTATCTTTCCCACCATGGTGAGGCAATGAATAGAGTAACTTACCCTGGATACTTGTACAAGCTCTGGGTGAGGGACAGGTTAGTTGGGGGGAGCATGGCCAGAATAGTGCTTGTAGACAGAAATAAAGAAAAATGATGGAAGGACCATTATGTGAGTGGCAGTGATCATGCAAAGATTAGATTTCTAAAATATTCAGGAGGCCAAATCAACTGATTTTGATAATTGATTGCTGGGGTCAGGTGCAGGTAAGGAAAGAGAAATGGCAATGATGCTGTTTTGCTTTTGGGGGAGGATAAGGGTAGACTTTACCAAATGAGATAAGGAAGGGTGGTGGTGGGATGAGGAGGGGTGCAGCAATTGAGTGCCATTTTGGACCTGGTGCATTTGAAGTACCAGTGGTGTGGTCAAATGGTAGTTGCAGTATGATCTAGAGCTCTGGGGAGAATCCAGGCTGAAAAACCCCAGGTATGTACCACGCCCAGGCAAATGGGGGTCTCACTTCATTGAGCACAGTTTCAAAACCACTTCTCCTTTCTCCCTGTTTTCTTGGGAAAATTGCTGAAATGTTACATTGAAAAAATCCCCATGTGGTGATTTATGCCCATCCATAGACAATACTGAAATGCTTAATGGTCTAAGGATAATAAAGGTTAGGCTTACAGGGAACTGAATATGACATTGGTAACTAGTTTAGCATCATAAACTCGTAAAATGAAATGTTATTTTAACGAAAAGATTTTAAAAATTTGATTATTGACGTTAGCTTATTGAGGATGACAGGTTGTGCAAATAACTGCTGAATGGAGAACTAGAAGGAGGATGGCCCGGCGGGGCGTGGCTCAGCGGTTGAGCGTGGGCCTAGGATCCAGGAGATCAGGGTTGGATTCCCCGTCAGGGCACATGCCCAGGTTGTGGGCTCAATCAATGACTCTCTCATCATTGATGTTTCTCTCCCTCTCCTTTCCTCTCTCTGAAATCAATAAAGATATATTTTATAAATAAATAAAATAAATAAAAAGAGGATGACTTGAAGAATGGGCAATGGGAACACAGTGAAAGATAACTTTAAATTCATTAGCCTGTCTCAGCTGCATCTTGGTTGTTCATAGCTGTGCTAACCTGGCTTAAAGCAGTCAGAAATAGTATGGATCATTTTGAGCAGAGGCTGCAGAAAACCATAAATAGCAAAAAACCTATAAATAATAGCTATAGTGTCAAAGATTATTAGATCTTATATTCCTATAGAGCAACTTTTTGAACACAAAAAATTAGGAACTCTCACTTTTAGTTCTTAGATTATTCAAGTACATTATTCTCAACTTTCCTAAAGTAGAAATATACAGGGTGTTCCAAAAAATCTATACACAGTTTAACAGCTGATAGCTCAATTTTGAAAATGAAATGTTTTTAATAAACACTGCCTTTATAATTATTCAAAGTGTGTGTATACATTTTTTGGGACACCCTATATTTAAGTATATTAACTATCTAATGGATAATATATTGAACTAGAAATGAGAACAATGACCTTGAGCTTGAGTTCCTTTTATGTTTTTCATTGTATGACCATAGCAAAGTCACTTAACCTCTTTCTGACCTACTTTTTTTTATCCTCATCTGAGAATGTGTTTTATTGATTTTAGAGAGAGAGGAAGGGGGGAGAGAGAGAGAAACATCTATGAGTTGCCTCCTGTATGCACCCCAACCGGGGATCAAACCTGTAACCTAGTTATGTGCCCTGACTAGGAATCAAACTCGCCACCTTTTGTTGTACCAGACGATTCTCCATTCAACTAAGCCACCTGGCCAGAGCTTTGACCGTAAGGTAGAGAATAACTTCCTACTAGCCTGCCTCTCAGGGTTATTTTAAGAAGTAACAAATTAATGCTTTAAAAGCTCTTTGAGGTACTTGGATGAAAGAGCATAATTGTAAGTACTTTTAATAATTAGCACTAATTTCCAGTAGAGCTCTTAAGCATTCATAAATTTGTTGCCCAGGCAACTCAAAGATAATGAAACAGAAAGGATTCTGTTTGGTGTGGGGTTTTTTTTTAGAGCTAGACAGAGGAAGGGAGAGAGAGAGAAAAACATTGATGTGAGAGAAACACTGTACATACCCTGACTGGGGATCGAACCCACAACCCAGGCATGTGCCCTGACCAGGAATTGAACTGGTGACCTTTCGGTGTAAGGGATGATGCTCAACCGACTGAGCCACACCGGCCAGTGTTTTATTGTTGTTGTTGTTTTTAATCCTCACCCAAGGGTATATTTTTTTTCATTGCTTTTCATGGTAGAAGAGAGTGAGAAAGAGAAACATCGATGTGCCCTTGACCAGAATCAAAAGACTCTTCAGTCCACCGGCTGATGCTTTAACCACTTAGCCAAACTGCTAGGGCAAGGATTCTGTTTTAAAATACACTTAGATTTCTTTTTGACTTGTGAGTTTAATTTTTATTTATGGTCAAAAAAGTTTTTATTTATGTATTAAAAAAGATAGCTTGAATGAAAAGTAAAGTTTTAGTAACTATAATTCTTAATGTTTGCTGCTGCTTATAGCTAATATGCTTTTGGGAGAAGTGTAAGGTAGGTATGCTCTTATTAGAATCATGTTTTAGAATTAACAATTAGTCTGCTGCAGTTATGGAACAGAAATTTTCTGTTCAAAGCATTACTCATTTCCCTATAGAATAATAAGAATCTGGCCTGGCTGAGTGGCTCAGTAGTTGAAAATTGACCCATGAAACAGGTGATCCCAGCCTGGTCATATGCCCGGATTGTGGGCTTAATCCCTGATAGAATCATGCATGAGGCAGCCGATCAATGATCCTTTCTCATCATTGATGTTTCTATCTCTCTCTCCCTCTCTCTGAAATCAAGAAAAACTTTTTTTTTTAAAAAAAAAGAATTATCTGAAACATGAAAGTGAACATTCCTGTGAAACTTCTGTCATTCCCATCATTGTTTGATCAGAAATACACAATAAAGCATGTAGTCCTGTAAGGTTCTGTCCAATGTCTTATCAATGTAAGAACCATCCAAACCTGTAGAAAAATTTTATAGGATTTTATTTTAGCTAAACTGACAACAATTGATGGGCAGGAAGATCTCAAATGCTCTGAAGAATGACAGTTTCTTTTAGGCATGTGAAATTGAGGGAATGTAAGGAAGATTACATGAAGGTGGGAGAAAGCAAAGTGGGGATTGAATTATAAAGTAATTAAGATTATGGGCTCTCTTGAGGGTGGTTACACTTGTTTCAAAGGTATATAATCTAGATGCACAAGAACCATGAATGAACTGCTTGCATAATGCAAAGACACCTTTTATGCCTGGGGCATGACTATTTACTATGACCTGCACAGTTAAGAATTTATGATCAGATCACCCTATGGGGTTACTTTCTGTAGAAACCCCCCTTTTTTGGTCATCAGTAGATGAAATTTTGCCCATTAGGTTGGTGGCTTCTGAATTTCTCTTTTGAAAAGTATATGCATATATATAACACTTTTTAAGTATATGCATATATATAACACTTTTTAAATATATTTGTGGCTATATAATGTACATATACATAGTTATATTTATAAAAAGATTATGAATGTACATGTGCATATAGTAGCAACAACAACAAAAGCCTCTGAGGTGTGTTGGGGGCCAGATAAGAAAGTACAGTATTTGATTAATAGAATTATGAGCATTATCTGTAACACCCATGATGCCTTAATATTTGTATTATTTCATTTTGTTTTCACAACAACTTTATGAGATAGGCATTGTTCAAAAAAATTACACTTAGAAGGCTTAAAGACTTGCCTAAGGCCTTAAAGATTTGCTACAAAGTCACAAGTAACAGAGTCAAATTCAAATTCTTGAGACTCAAATGCAGCATTCCT